ATTGCTGGCGGCCCCCGCCGCGGACCCGGGGATTCCGCGGCTCTTCCCCGCGGAGCCTGGGCCCCCGAAGTCCCCCCAACACCCCCACCATAAAACCCACTTTTTCCATGCAAGCCCCAGGAGCAGCACACGCCCCCCACTGTACTAGATACTCCGAAAGAGCCAACCTCCAGCTTTCGTTTTGTAAAATGTATTTGAGTTTGCAATCCACACTCTTTTTCCCTCTTCTAATTCGTATTTTCACAAAGTCTTTCTCTTAGTCTGGTAAAATTGATGCTTCAGGGAGATGGGATATGTTTACCCCAGAAAACTGACCTGGACTCCTAGCATGGACAGAAATGGCTGGGAGGTGTCTGAAGGTTTGTTTAGAAAGAAAGCTAGAGCATACTCCACAGAGAGGTCACCTCGTTTTTTACCTTGATGAAATGTTGGCATTTTTATACTGTCACAAATAGAACCTCTGACAGTAGCTTCTTTCATGGTTTATCTAGTCTAGCTCAGGTGTTTTGACAGCGCTCAAAAGGGAGACTGACTTCCCACTTATTCCATTGAGATGTTGGCCCTCACCTAAGATCTTTCTAGAGGGCAGAGAGGCAGAAGCTGACTGATTTCCAAGCTGTTTGTTCATTTGCTCTCTGCAGCAGGACCCACAGCCCATTCCTACCACTGAAAAACTGACAATTATTGGCCCAACCCCTTGCCCATCTGCCCCCAAACCAGCCCCTGGGGGAACTGTGCAGCCTTTTTTAGTGGGACCTGCTTCATTTGACTTTTGCCCCAGGCTGAATTCCTCCCTGAAGAGCACTGCTTACATCTTTTAACCTCTCTATAACCCTCTCACTCCACATTCCAATCCAAAGTTCCTCTACCTTTCTTAAGAATCCTCCCCCCCCCCCAAAAAAAAAGAATCCTCCCCAGATTTCTCTCTGCTACACACCCACACACCCCTTTGCCAGCAGGGTTCAGTGTCTCCTCTTTGGGCTCCAGCTAATCTTTGGGTCCCTCTCTAACTCCTCACGTCTCTCTCCTTTAGCTTCTGAACCCTTTTCTCAAGCAGTTTTCCTAGATGCCAAGTTTCTCTAAGGTCCCCACAAGACTTTTTGAAATGATTCTTCAGAGGACTGAAGACCGTTTAACTTTTTTAAGATAGCAGCGGGCAGGGGAAGGCTGGGGGCAGAAGTTGGATAAGTCAAAGCCTGAGAAATAAAGATAAGAGGGTGTACCCCTCCTCCAGGAGACAAAAAGAGAAGGTGACTGAGAAGGGGAAGTGGCCTCAAGCAGCATTAGAATGATGCTACCAGTTCTGTAAACATACTTAGGACAGAAGCAGGCACCTGTACCACACACAACACTCCCCACCTCAGCTGGACCAGGAGATTGTGATCACCACCTTTCTGACCCTTCCAACAGGGCCCCAGGCAGGCATGGCCACACCCACCGTGCCCCAAGCTGCTTGCCTTGCTGTGACTCACTTCCTCTGAATGGGCTGCTGAGGTGGCCCGAGGCAGACAGAGAACACCACCAGGCCTTCAGACTGGGATTGAAGTATCAGGACAGGCTTCTAGGACGGGAAAAGGCATGGACCCCAGCTGAGGAAAGTCAGCCTGACCCAAGTCAGGTTGGCTCCTGCAACACAGAAGCCTATTTGGGTAAAGGAGGAGAGCATGGCTACTATTGTGAACAGAGGGATTCGGGTGCCAGGAGTTCAGGAAAGAAAAAGTTTGATAACAAGACAAAAATAACCAGGAGGAGTTTCTGTGTGTTCTGAAATCATGCAATCCAGAGATTTCACAGAAAAATAATATGGAGTCTGGAGTTGAACGAGTATTTACGAGTCAACAGCTAGGCTCTCCATATTACTGCTTGTCCCGTATGTATTCCACTAAGACCCCCAAATCAGCCATGCTCTCATCTAAGAGATGAAGAAAACACAGAAGAAGTTAGATCTGGTTCCAACACATGGCCCTGGGGAAGTCACTCCGTGTCCTGAGTCAGTGACAAGAGGGTGGTAGACCTCATCTCCAAGAACCCCTCCAACTCCGAAATTCTAAAATTTAGAGCTTGGGCGTGAAAGGTGATTAGTAAGCCTGAAAACAACCTCAGCCTGGCCCTGGAGTTGAACAAAACAAAACACCAGGACAAAAGGAATGAGATTCCACCAAGTTTCAGTGGAGCAGCTGTAAATACATCTCACATGCTCTCTCCTGACACTCCTGGGCCATAAGGATTACTCTTCTGCCTTGTGGCTGCAGTTGTCTACATCCTTCAAATGCAGGGTTCAGCCTGGCTGATCTGCCAGGAATCCCCCGCAGAAGTTCGGACAGGGGAAATAAGAGCCCTTTCCCTTCCTTCATATCCCTCTAAGCTTACTTGAAATGTATACCCAGAAAGGCAGGGGACTGAGGCCGTGAAGACACTACTGCGGTAACCCAGCCTAGGAAGTCTCCTGCAGGTCCTGAGGTCTCGGTGGCAGTGGTGGTGGGAGGGCGGAGGGGTACCTCAAATAGGTGACTACTTGAGGCTCTTCTTCTGACCCTGCCTGCCCACCAAGTCCACCTAGGAATCTGATGTCCTCCAGAGACAGCAATTTCCAATCAGTGGGCAAAGAGAGCCCCTGGAGGTCTGCGGGTGGAGCCAGGGCCTTACAGACCTCAAGTGGCCACTAGGGGGCTCTCCGCGCTCTGTGGCTTCTAATGCCCTCCTGTGGCCAGATTGAAGATTCGCAAGACAGAAGTTGCAGAAAGAGCCAAGACCAGACTCCATAGGGAGACAAGTTAACAATAACAGTTATCATTATAAAATAACATGATGTCAATATTTATTGTTATAGATGAGTTAACATTTTGACATGTGTACCTACTAGTCTGTGCAGAGCATTTTTCTCAAGTGCTCTACATGTATTGCTTTATTTCTCACCATAGCTTGCTTTTTTTGTTTTTTTTTTAAGATTTTATTATATCTATATCTATATCTATCTATATCTGTATCTAGAGAGTGAGAGAGAGAGAGAGAGACAGGCAGAGGAAGAAGCAGGCTCTATGCAGGGAGCCCGACATGGGACTCGATCCCAGGACTCCAGGGTTACACCCTGGGCTGAAGACAGGCACTAAACTGCTGAGCCACCCAGGGATCCCTCACCATAGCTTGTAATATAAACACTATTATTATCTCTATTTTGAAGATGAGGAAACTGGGCACAGAATGGTTGAGGTAATTGCCAAGGTCACAGAGCAGACCAGAATTCCAAGTCTAAGAAGTCTGACTCCAGAACTTTGCTTTTTTTTCTTTTTAAGATTTTATTTATTTATTTATTTATTTATTTATTTATTTATTTATTTATTTATTTATTTATTTATTTGCAGAGGGAGAAATGGGCTCCCTGCAGGGAACCTGATGTGGGACTCGATCCCAGGATCCCAGGATCACGACCTAAGCCAAAGGCAGATGCTCAACCCCTGAGTCACCCAGGTGCCACAGAACCTTTGCTTTTAATCACCATGCTGAAACTGAGTCCCATTTTCCAGGTTGCTGTGTTAATTATGGATGCTCAATGAAATCACAATTTCAGATGAACAACAAATTATTTGTTAGCATAGAGATATTCCATGAAATGGTTGGGTCATACTTAATACCAACAAATCATTTGTCATTTACCTGAACTTCTAGGTATCCTGTATCTTTATTTTTTAAATTGGCAGCCTTATTTTCAAGGCATTTTTCTCTGCCAAATGCAGAGAAAATCCCCCATATGAATTAGGTAACATATGTTACCTAATTCAGCTATTCCAGGATGGCTATTCTTGGGGGCCCAGGAGGACCCCTCTACACACATCAGCCTCTCTCAATAGTCCCCCCCTTTTTTTTCAGGTAAAGAAAAAGACATAGAAATCTGAAATGAAAAAAAAAGAAAAGAAATCTGAAATGACTAACTGAGGTTACAGAAGAGAACAAGTGGCAGGGCAGGGGCTTAAACCCACATTCTCACAGCAAAAATTGGTGGATGCTTTCCACTTGAACAGGAGACAAAGTGAGAAGCAGTGATTGCCACCAAGGAAATCTCCCTCTGTGCATTCTTAGGCCTAGTCTTCCCTGTGGAAGAGGGGCAGGTCAATCCTCAGGGACATAAGAACACCAGGGAGGGCCTTGCTTGGCAAGGAGAGTGGCAAAGGGGTGGAAAGTGCTCTGGAGCTTCTGTGCCCAGGCCCTACCTGAACCCTCGCGGGGAGCAGGAAAGAGACAGCTCCTAGATCCCAGCGAGCTGGCTGGGAGGCTCAAGTGACTGCCTGCTCAGGGGCTCCTGGGGCTCCTCAGGGCTGTTCACCTGTTGCTCTGTGCACTGACAGCCCCAACCCCAGCTGCTAACATTGCCTCGCTACAGCTACAACAACCCTGGCAGCCAAAAGGCACCAGACAGAATCTAGACACAGGAACCCTTTCCTGTGGGAAGGTTCCTATTTCCCTTTGCCTTTTGGGATCGTGATGCTTCTGTCCACGGGGAACACTCTTTGCATTTTTCTCTCTTCCTCTGCTTATCTGCTCTCACCCTTAAATGCCTGTGCTCTTTCTTCCCCCACAGATCTAAACAGTCCCCCCTGCCCTTCCCACCCAGGCTGACTGGCTCTGATAAGGTAGTAGTAGTCAGGTAATTTGGGGGTTAGGACCCCCTCTGGGGTGTGGGTTGGGGTGCCCTGCTGGTATGTGCCCCAACAGGTTTTTCTCTATCAGCCTCTAAATCAGCCTGGAGCCTGTCTGACCTGTCCCCCCAGGGAGCTGGAGCCAAAGGCAGAGCCAGGTCAGAAGCTGGACTTAAAGACTGGGTTTCTATGGTCCCAGCCTGGCCCCAGAAGGAAAGCACCACACAAAGCCTCTTGTGTCCAGCTGGGCTGCTGGAAGCTGAGCAGAATTCTCCCAGTGGGCTGGCTTCTAGAGGGAAAGATGCTTGAGAGGGAGGAGCTTGCCTGTGGGACCAGGTACAGCCCGGTCCTCTCCCACATTTGGGAGGGGCCAGAGCCCGAGGCGACAGCTGGGCTGGCTTCTAGAGAGGTCATCTGACTGGCTGCCCGGCCTGGGCTGCACACGCGCTCTCTCCTCTAGCAGACCACACAGAAGCTGGTGCTGACACAGGCAGCTGCCAGGCTATAACTGCCATCTCGCCCCTGGCACCTCTGGGTAAGCACTGGACCTGGGCCCTCTGGGGGAAGGGAGGGGAAAAAATCTTGTTGATCCCTTGGGAGAGGGAGAAAGTTTTCTTTTTCTAATGTGAGTGCTTGCTCCCTTGTCTAGGCACCCATGTACCCAAAGGAACACACACATCAGCCCCACTGACCTGAAGATCACTGCCAGAGACTCCAAAGGTGAAAGGTGGGCAGCAGGTAGGCAGCCAGATGGGCAGGGGGCAGGGGCTTCCTCCTGGGCTGGGGCTGAAGGTAGGGAGGTATTTGAGGAGTTGTTCTTTCCCACTCTACGTACTTTATCCTGCTACCTTGCCTCACTTCCCCTGCACCACTGCAGGAACACCTCACCAGGCCCCCAGAAGGAAGGGATGTGTAATCTCAGAGGGGGGTCATCCACTGGAGACCAAAGTTTGGGAGCCTAAGGACCCACTTTGGAGTCAGGGAGGGTTTGTTTGATGCTATTTCTAGCAGCATTCCCTTTTTTTTTATTTTTAACATTTTATTTATTTATCTGAGAGAGAGAGAGAGCTCGCACACATGCACAAGCTGATGAGAGGGGCAGAGAGAGAGGGAGAGGAAGAAGCAGGCTCCCCACTGAGTAGGGAGCCCGATGCAGGACTCGATCCCAGGACCCTGGGATCATGATCTGAGCTAAAGGCAGACAGTCAATTGACTGAGCCACCCAGGTATCCCTCTAGCAGCATTCCTAATCAATCCTTGCTTCCTGAAGGAGGGGGTGAGAGGTGGGGAAGATGGGGCCCCCCCCCATTACCCCTCCATTTGGACTCCCAAACTTGCCAAGCAGGTTGATGTTCTTTTCTTTCTGCAATGTGGGGAAGGAACAGGAAGGACATGGGAGGTGGGCCCTAGGGGTCTGGGGATCATAAAAGAGGCCCAGAGGGTCAGGAAGTTCTTGTCAGGTGGCTTCTGTTTCTTTCCCCGGGAGAGCTAGTCATACCATGTCTGTGACCAGTGGGAAGACCAGACCATCCCTGACCCAGGAGATCCTCAGCCACCTGGGCCTTGCCAACAAGGTAGGGGCTGTGGTTTCTGGGATCGTTGTTACTACATCAGCTCTCGGGCTGTGAGAGGATGAGGGATGGGAATAGGAGAGCAGGCCCTGAGACCATGTCAAGGGCCATGCTGAGGCACTGGGACAAGATCTGTGCGGATCTGAGATGCTCCTCCAGCCCCCTACCCCTCATGCTCTTACAGACTGCAGCCTGGGGAACCCTGGGCACCCTCAGGACATTCTTGAGCTTCAGCGTGGACAAGGATGTGCAAAGGCTGCTGAGGGCCATTGCAGGCCAAGGTGAGCCCCTTTCCCTCTGCACGGGGGAATACATCTTTTAGAAACCAGTCTGCAGACTAGGAAGGACTTCGGAAGGAGGAAGTGATGTTGTTCAATAAATGTTTGTGGAATGCCTTAATTCTCGTATATCAAGTACCATGAGAGGTATGTCATTCCCATTCTTAGGACACCCTTGTGAGGTAAGTCTTATTTCTATTTTACAGGTGAGGGAACAGGCTTGGTGAGATAAAGAGGCTGGCTCAATGTCACACAGCTCATAATGGCAGGGCTGGGATTCTAATCTAAGTCCATGATCACCGAGCCATTTCTCCCTCCACCTTCTCCTGATTTTGGGTCAGGTTCACATGTCATTTTGAATCTATTTGCATCTTCTTATTTTTATTTTTATTTATTTTTTTGGGGGGGGGAGAAAGTGTGTTGTGAGTGGTAGGGGGAGGGGCAGTAGGAGAGGAAGAGAATCTTAAGCAGACTCCCTTCTGAGCCTGGAGCCCAGTGTGGGGCTTGATCCCACAACCCTAAGATCATGATCTGAGCTGAAATCAAGAGTTGGATGCTTAACCAACTGAGCCATCCAGGCACTCCTGCATCTTCTTTTGAGGCTGAATGGAAGTGGGGAGGGCACTTGGGTGACTCCCAACTTGGGTTGAGCATCTGCCTTTGGCTTAGATCATGATCCCAGGGTCCTGGGATCGAGTCCCGTATTGGGCTCCCTGCAGGGAGCCTGCTTCTCCCTCTGCCTATGTGTCTGCCTCTCTCTGTGTCTTTCATGAATAAATAAATAAGATCTTTGAAGGAAAAAAAAAAAAAAAAGGAAGTGAGGGTGTTGTAGTCCCTACCCCGTCCTGCACAGCTCTTTCCTGGATCTTTTCCTCTCTTCCCCTGGAGGCTTCAAGTCCAATGAGGCAGGGGGATCCCTGCCCCTAAAGACTCTCTTGGGTCCTGGCGAGCTGATAGCCCAACCCTCATCTGGGTTCAGGTGTGGACTGCAGTGCCATCATGGGCGTGTTGACCAACAGGACCAGAGAGCAAAGGCAGCTCATCTGTCAAGCCTTCCAGGAGCGCACCCAGCAGGTGAGGCCACTGACTTACCAGAGCCCCCTCCCCGGAAGACTTGGAGTACAGCCATAGCAGCTGAGAGAGGGGCAGCTGGTGCTTCTGGCCTTAGAAAGACACCAGCCAAATATCCCCAAACCTCCCCACGCATCTGGGGTCCTCTGCATCATGCCTCTTCTCTGCCATGGGGGTCATCTGTTGTAGGACCTGCTGAAGTCCCTGCAGGCAGCACTCTCTGGCAACCTTGAGAGGATTGTGATAGCTTTGCTGCAGTCTGCAGCCCAGTTCGATGCCCAGGAATTGAGGACAGCCCTGAAGGTACCAGGAGAGAAGGCTCGCTGGGTGTCTAGGAAGTAAGAACCACTGAGGGGAGGAGGGAGTTGACTGACTTGCCTTTGCCCACCCCAGAGGAATCGATTTGGCAGAGGCCCTCTTTAAACAGCCCATATGGACCCCTAAAAGGACAGGTGGTGGCCTCTGCTCTCTGCCATTCTAATGACATGACTCGGCGTCAGAGTGGCCTCCCCGCATCTTGTAGAACTCAGGTCCTGCTGAGGATGTGGCCCTGGAAATTCTTGCCACCCGAAGTGCACCCCACCTGCAGGAGTGCCTGACGGTCTACAAACAGAGTAAGAGTGGAAGGAGAGGGGAGAGGGGATGGCAGGGCAGTCCCCCCTCTCTGGCACTCCCTACAGGCAAGCATCCAGCAATATTCCTTCTGAGTCTCTCCGCCCACCCACCCTTGCCAATTCTGTCTCCCCAGGGCAAGAGCCAGATATGATCATTAAAGAAAGAGAAGCAGGGTTCCTGGGTGGCTCAGTCGGTTAAATATCTGCCTTCAGTTCAGGTCATGATCTTGGGGTCCTAGGATCAAGCCCCACATCGGGCTCCCTGCTCAGGAGTCTGCTTCTCCCACCCCTCAAATCTCCCCCCAACTCATGCTCTCTCTCTCAAATAAATAAAATCTTAAAAAAAAAAAAAGGAAGGAAGGAAGGAAGGAAGGAAGGAAGGAAGGAAGGAAGGAAGGAAGGAAGGAAGGAAAGAGAAGCAACAATTAGCCATCTTAGTCTGGGGCTTCAGGGCAGATTCCAAGGTAATGACAATGTTGGGCACTGTGACAGTCCCAAGGGGACCCATGTCATCTTCCCAGCCCCTTCCAGATTCTGCCTTCATACCACATCCCAGACTAAATGGAACCTTGCTACAGCCAGGGGGGGAAAGGTGGGGACTTAGTCTCTCTAAGTCATAGGTATTACCCCTCAGGCTCCTGTGTGGCTGCCACATCCCTCACCCACTGATTGCTAACTGGCCTTTTCTCATCCTCATCTGGTGTCCATTCTTGGCCTGTCTTAATCCCTCTCCTACTTCTCACTTCTTGCTTCTGTTTTTCTTTTCCCTCTCTTCTTTCACATCTTCACATCCTTCCACCTCACTTCTCCTTGGCTCCAGAAAGGGGGCCAGGCCCTAGCCATCTGGCTTCATAATGTGGGTTTTCATACCCCCCTTGACTGCCCGTCTACCCCTCGAATAACAGATGCCCCCTTCTCCTAGCAGGTTGGCACCCCGTGATGCATGGGTTACTCACAGCTTAGGGATGTTTTCAGGGTGGCCACGATGGTGCTTCTGCCTTACATCCTGGGAACCAGCAGCCATCCAAGCCACCCCAAGCAGGAGATGGCAGTGTAGGCAAGGCACAGCGTGTTGGGCATTGAACAGGGAATGTCTACACTGGGAAAAACTGAGAGGATTCAGAGAGGTCCTGACCCCACCCCAGATTTCCAGGTAGAGGCTGAGGAAGACATCAAATCTGAGACCAGTGACATCTTGCAGGAACTGCTCTTGGCCCTGGCCAAGGTGAGGAGGACTGACCTGCAGGGGAGGGGCTGGCGGAGAGTGGAGAGCATTGCTCTGGTATGATTAGCATGAGAAGGCTTTGAGGGGAGACCAGGTTTTGGTTGGTTGTCCTGGGGATAAAAAGCTACCCTCAGAGTCCTAAGAGAGTTTATCCTAGGGGGTCCGTGACAGATACTCTGGAATCATTGACTATAACCTGGTGGAACAAGATGTCCAGGTGAGCAGGAGCGAGGAGTTTGCACAGCCATGCATGTAAGACATCCCCCTCTACCATATCCTAGGCCAGGGACATATGTATCCACTTGTCCTGCAAACCTCTCCTTGCCTCATTGACATGTGAGGACCTGAAGTGTCAGATAGTGACCATCTGAAGCCTATCACTCTTTTAGCCTCTGATTCCTGAACTAGCAGGAAAGAAGCTTGTCAATGGACAGATTCTCCTCTCATGGACATTTCGGTGGGGGCACCCTCCTCACAACTTCACTTGGAGATTATTTAATTCCTTGATTCCCGCAAATTGGAGAATTGAGCTATGAGGGCAGAACCCCTCCCTTAGCCCCATTCCTTTTTTATTTGTTTTAGCCATAAATAAAAGCAACTACTTTATAGGTTCAATTAAGCTTTTCCCTGCTGAATCCCATTTCCATCATCATGATGATGGATTTGGGGAACATTGCAACCATGGCTCCCCTGCCCCCAACCAATGATCCTGGTTTACTCCTCTTTCCCAGGCACTAAAACAGGCTGAAGCGCCCAGCACAGAGGGCACGTGGGTCCTCATCTTCACCCAGCGAAATCTCGAACACCTCATCCGAGGTACACACGAAACTTCTTGTATTCCTAGCTTACTCTAATAATGTTTTGGCTGAGAAATGTGGGGAGGGCTCATCCTTCTCTGTGATAATCCACCCCTGTTCCCATTTATCTTTCTAACTACATCCCACACACAAGTGTTTGATCAGTACCAGCGGTGTACCGGGCATGAGCTAGAGAAGACCGTCCAGAACCGTTTCCACGGAGACGCCCGGGCAGCTCTGCTCAGCCTAGGTAGGGCTGGCTCAGAATATGTGGGTTAGGCTCTCACCTGGCATGGGAGCTATCTGTCTCTTCATCTCTCCCTCTTTGCTTCCAGCCTCAGTGATCAAGAACACACCACTGTATTTTGCTGATAAACTTCATCAAGCCCTCCAGGTGAGAGGGATGCCTCTTTTCCCTCCCTTTGGAACAAAAACTGGGGGGGGGGTGGCATCTTCTGGGCAAGAGAGAGGAAGTTTCACACTGTTGCTGATGTAACGATCTGATCTCATATTTACTTTGTAAACATAGCAGCTCTCTTCTCCTAGGTTGACAAACTGCCTTGTCAAGAATTAGAGGAGTGAGCTGGCGTTAAAGCTAAATTAGTTGACTCAAAAGGGCACGAAAACTAAAATTTTGGCCTAAGTGATATATAGGTGGCCAAATATAGGTATGAATTTGCTCTCTAAGACAGCACCTTGTCCAATTTCAGTTGTTGCCAGAATAATGATGGTGATAATGCAAGAGTAATGACAAGAGCCAGCATTTCTTGCTCATCATTCTCCAGAGCCTATGATGAGCTCATTACACACATTTCAATTAATATTCACAGCCACACTCCATCCCTGTTTTATAGATGAAAAAACTGAGGTACAGAAAAGTTAAGTTCTTTGCCCAAGTTCATACAGCTAATGAACCATTTAGGCTTCCTATAAAACACATATGGCTAACATAACATTGTATGTTATTTATACTGGAATTTAAAAATAATTAAAAATCACATATACCTAATGGTCTTCCAGGACATTTTACTGCCATGTGTCAACTCCTGCTCTAAAATATAGGTATTGGTCTGAACTACAAGCTATACCATAAGAGTTCTTAGCACTCAGGACCACCTTTCTCCACAATGGTCAGACTTTGCTATCCACACTTAAACTGGTGATTCCACAAACAGAATCCAGTCATTCTGCTCATTGAGCTAGGTCTCCTATTAGTACAACTGTCCCTAAAACCTATAAATTAAAAACTCACCCAAATTTTTAAGAAGATAAAATTAGTTATCATTTTGGCAGATGGCATAGCTTCTTGTGTACTAAGAAACCATCATGGCAGGTATTCAGAAGACAGTACATATATGCACTTGTTTCATCACCAGTGGAGATTTCAATTTTGACAGTAAATTTTCTAAATTCCTGTCATAAACAAACTTGTATTGAAGCAATAAATGATTATAATGTATTTGGATTGCCAAATTTGTTTTTTTTTAAGATTTTATTTATTCATGAGAGACACAGGCAGAGGGAGAAGCAGGCTCCATGCAGGGAGCCTGATGTGGGACTAGATCCCGGGTTTCCAGGATCACGCCCTGGGCTGAAGGCGGCGCTAAACTGCTGAGCCACCCGGGCTGCCCACCAAACTTGTTTTAAAAAGGAAAAACTTCTGTCTTATTCTCTTGTGAGAAATATTTGAAAACATAGATTGTGACATATTTATTCAGAAAAGTGACATTCAGTGAAGGCTGATTCCGGAAAATTTGGACCAATCTGAACCATAGAATGAATGTTTATTAAAAGATCCTAGGGAAGTATGAGTTGGCCAAGTACATTCTCAAGTAACAAGGCAAGAATTATGTTTAATGTAGGTTTGGTAGAAAGGGTGCTTGTGCACCAATGGGAATATTCAGTTAATGAGTGCCTTGCCCCAGTTCTACAACTTTGGAGTAGTAAGAGTTGGAAGACAGGAAGAATAGATACTGCAGAGCAATCAGCAGTTTTTACCACAAGATTGATGATACATGAAATTGAAGATAAAGTAGCCAACAGGCACACTGACAATGAGGTCCAAATGAAATATGGCATCCTGTTGTTACTTCCTCATTTTATTTTCTTTTTTTTCCATGGGAACTTATGATCTGTGTGGATGCCATAAAGGTGGGTATCAGGCAATTGTGGGAAGTCTCATGAGTCAAGTACCAGGAAACTACTGGGAAAGAAGCTATTAGGAAATTGTGACAGCACTGGTGCACAGCCCATGACATAAATAGGAGTTTTGCAACCAAAGTTTTTATTTAGAAATCTCTCCTGATAACACATTTATTATAATCAGTTGTAACTAATGACTTCATATAATCAATTATGATTCATGATTTATAATTATAATTCACGTATTGTACCTTTATTTTTGAAACTGAACCCTCCACTACCTTCTTTAACCAAAAGGCAGGAGGCTTGGTGTGACAAGTGATGCTGCACCCCAGGAATCCAAACAGGAGAAACTGATGTATATAGATGGGGATGTGAGGTGGCCCTGGTAGGTCAGGCTCAGACCCTCCTGAGCGTCTGCTCACATGACCCTCCTGCCTATCAGGAAGTCACATGACCCTCCTGCCTATCAGGAAGTCACATGACCCTCCTGCTTATCAGAGCCCCAACAACTCATTTTGGGGATAGGCTGGTATATCCTCTTTGGACACTCACTACCTTGGAAGTTAAAAACTTCCTGGCTTTCATGCTGGAACTCTTTATGGGCAGCAAGTCTTTCCCATCTTTTTTTGAGTAACTGCCTTGGGAGCTGCCCACCACTGAGATATTGAGGAATGAGGCTCTAAGCTAGTGACATGGCCAGAAAGAGAACTACCCCAGCCACTCCCACAGAGGCTGATCTTTCCTGCTGCATACCTTCCATGAGGGTGGACAAAGATAAATTTTGCTCTTATTTTAAAAAAAAAATTTTTTAATTTTGTTTTATTTATTATAGTCTCACAGAGAGAGAGAGAGAGAGAGGCAGAGACATAGGCAGAGGGAGAAGCAGGCTCCATGCACCAGGAGCCCAATGTGGGATTTGATCCCGGGTCTCCAGGATCGCGCCCTGGGCCAAAGGCAGGCGCCAAACCGCTGCGTCACCCAGGGTTCCCAAATTTTGCTCTTAGATAATGTACTCTTCTCTTTTCCCTGAACTCACACCTCACTTCCCCTTCCTATTTATTTTTTTTTAAGATTTTATTTATTTAGTCTTGAGAGACACAGAGAGAGAGAGGCAGAGAGAGACACAGGCAGAGTGACAAACAGGCTCCTCGCAGGGAGCCTAATGCGGGACTTGATCCGGGACTGCAGGATCACACCCTGAGCCAAAGGCAGACGCTCAGCTGCTGAGCCACCCAGGTGTCCCGTGCTTCCCCTTTCTAGAGTAATTTACCATCCTGTCAAGTCTCTACTCTGTGAGAATCTTGCCACCACCCTCCCCCCATTCTGTTTCTCCATCTTCCAGGACATCAAACCCAATTACCAAGTCCTGATGCGCATCCTTATCTCTCGAAGTGAGACTGACCTTCTAAGCATCCGAGCTGAGTTCAAAAAGAAATTTGGCAAGTCCCTCTACTCTTCTCTCCAGGTGAGACTTAGCTACTTCTTAACCTGGAGGCCCAGAGCTTCACCCCTCCCCTCCACTCTGCCCTCCCTGCACACCACCAAACATGTTCATGCTCTGGAGAACTCATGAGTTTTTGGTTAATTTAGTACACAGCTCTTGACATCAGACAGTTCTGGGCCAGCACAAGGGAGGAAACAATACTTGGGCAATGGTGTCAGTGGGGTCTAACATTGGACTCTCCTGTCTGCAGGATGCAGTGAAAGGGGACTGCCGGTCAGCCCTACTAGCCCTATGCAGAGGTGAAGACCTTTGAGGCCTCCCTGGAACACCATGACATTCAAGGATCTGAGATCCCCATGTGTGGCCAAGCCTATACCAGCTGGGCCTCCAAATAGGATAACGCTTCATTGAGTATCACATGCTCCAGCTTCTTGTTGAGAGTAGAATTTGAAGTTTCTTTTGAATCCCTTAATTTCCTCATCTCAAAGTGATGCCTGCACCTGCGTCCCCAAGCTCTGTCTTGGGTATAGGCAGCGCTTGGATGGTTTCTGCCCTACTCATCCTTCCCATACCCTGGCCAGACCATCTCACTGATTCTTGAATTCTTTTGGCAAACTTCACTGTTGTTTGTGTTCCCTGATTGAAGTTTGGGTGGAGCAGGACATGGGCTGGGAGGAGGCCTTAAAGTTGGAGCTGCCTTTGATGTGCCCTTGGATATTCAACAGGCTCTGGTGCTGCAACAAGCCCCTCACCTTGAAGTCCAACCCCCCCACCCCCGCCATTATTCTCTCTTCCCCAGGAAATTTCCAGACAAAGTAAGTGAGAAACAGGAGCCCTATGAGGTCAGAAATAGAGGTAGCAAAGGGGGCCTGGATGGCTCAGTTGGTTAAGTGTCTGGCTTCGGCTCAGGTCATGATCCCAGGGTCCTGGGATGGAGTCCTGAGTCAGGTTCCTGGTGGGAATCTGCTTCTCCCTCTATCTCCCCTCCTGCTCATGATCTCTCTCTCAAATAAATAAATACAACCCCCAAATTGGATCTTCCAAAGCTGGGACTTGGGGGTGGGGGGGAGCAGGCTTTGGTTCCCCCTGCTGGCACTATTAGAAATGACAAGCAAAGCAACTCTCCGGGCCTCTATAACCTCCCCCATCTTTTTGCATTCCTTATTTGGGTCAAATACTTAACCCCACTGTTGCAGGGGAATGCAAACAACAGATCTCAAGAAAGAAGTTTTATTTCCAAACCCCTAGGAAAGCATTACAAATAATGGAGATAGAAACCCTGAAACAATCGGGAGACAGGCCAGCAGGATCACCAATGACCCAGCCAGTCAGGGGTAGAAGCAGGGAAGATGCATTCTAGACAGGGACCTCACCCTGGAGCCTGAGTCTGTATATTAGTGTGACTGTACTGGGGAGCAGGAGCTGGGAACTAGGAATCCTCACCCCACCAACCCCAATGTTGCCCTGGATGACTGGGAGGCAGAGAGAAGGTGGCAGCACATGAGGGCAGGATATTACTGAGTCTGACCTTGGCATTTACTGCCCGCTCTGATCCCCAACAGTCTATAAATGCGTTACCCTGCATATCTCAGGGCTTGAGCTGGGGGAGCAAGCAGAAGAGCCGTCACCTCTAAAAGAAGAGGCAGGGCAGCCCCAGCATGGGGCCAAGCTACAGGAGGACACAATCTGACTCTTGTTTCGGCCTCTGACGACGCTCCCCGACTGGACGTCCAGATGCGGCTCCTCTCCCCTGTATGGGATTTAACAATGGGTCACGCATCAGCCTGGAAGAGCAAAACGACAGATTCTAGATGGAAGTAGGGCAGGGTCAGGAGGGGAGTTGGGGAGAGAAAGGTAAGACGGGACCCACAGGAGAGGGACACTTTGAAGAGACGAGTTAGGAATCACAAGGACAAGTGTGTGGACAGGGCAGGAGCAAGGTGGAGCTCGGCCCCTCGGACCACCCCAGCCAGCAGCCCTCACCTGTGGTGAGGCCCGCACTGGTGCAGGCTGGACTGCTTGTTGCTGCTGGTACTCCTCTTGCTGAAGCCGCTGGGCCAGCTCCAAGTCACTGAGACCCAACGTGCCCTGTGGCTGTTGCTGGAGGGACAAGGCAATCAGGTAGTCCTAGAGAGAGGCAGGGCAGAGCAAAAGTAGTGAGGTCACTGGGGCCTGGGGGCTATCCAGGCTGGCTTTAGGTTTCCAACCCATTTTTCTTCTTCAAATTCTCCAGCTTCTCCTCCAGGGCAAAACACACAGCCAAGTACATTATCTGTGGTGACATACTCCAAGTACCAAGGTGGTCTGAAGGTGACAGTTAAGGGGCACAGGTGTCATGTGTCATGATGTCTAAATGATGAAATGTGCATGCCACTCACTTATGGTGAAGAGCTCATTAGAGGATGGGCTCTCTGCCCCCTTCCTACTGGCCCCACACACCTGGTCTACCTGCCGCAGCTCTTTGGGGGAGCCACTGCCCCCTCCTGCTCCGGGCCCTTTGCCCAGGGAATGGCTCAGGTGGAAGTCAGAGTCGCAGAAGCAGCTGTCACCATCCACATTGTGCAGGCTCTCCCACACCACTTGCTCCTCCTGCAGAAATCCCTGGTCAGTGACCAGTAGGTACAAGTGACTCTGTAGAGAGGAGGACAAAGTTCGTTGGTGGGGTAGGTGACGCAGAGGCACTTCACTGCCAGAGATCAGCTGAAATGCAGAGACCATTGCAATCGCCTATGGCGCTGCCTGGACCATGTCAGTGTGAGCACACACATCTTTTATAGCTGTGGGGAGAAGGAAGGGATGTCTGAGTGTACGCTCAGCTGGGTGTGAACATGGCAGTCCCTGTGGTCAAGTGGGAGTCCTTGGGGTGGGGGTCCCACACAAGATGCTGCTTCATACCCTACTTCCTGTGGTTCTCTGGGTTCATCTGATGGCTACCAGAATAAATCCTTTGAGAGTCAAAGACCTTTCCCTCATCCATTTAATTCCATTCCCTTGCTGGGAGAGGATTTTACTTTCCTGTCCCATTGAGGGCAAGCCTATTCCTTAAGGCTTGCTCTGACCAGTGAGAAAGTAGCCAGACTGACACATGTCATCTCTAGGCAGAAGCATTAAAAGCTAGTGCATGGGGTACCTCTCTCTCTTTTCCCTTCCAGATTCCAGATTAAGGCTGTTTTGTCAGCCTGGGTCCCAGAGAGAAGACGATGCAGGACAGAATAGCAGCTAATCCACAATGGCCAGCCAGCATGAGAAATAAACCACAGGGATTTTAGGGGCCATTTGTTACCTGAGGTTAATCTAACTTATCCTGCCTGACACACTGACCCAGAAGAAAAAACCACGAGTGACAGCACATCCCACGTCCCACCCCTGCATCTCTAAAATCTCATTACCTTGTGCTTAGTCATAGTGCTGAAGTGGTTGTTTCGAAAAAAGACACTAAGTTCACCCTCCTTGGCAGCTGCTGTTAGCTCGCACAGTCCATGGTAGGTCAGCTGTGCTGCGGTGGTCTCCAGGAACTGCTCTGCGATCAGGCCTGCCGGGAGGGCACAAAATTGGGGGATGAGGGGCTTAGCTTCAATACAAAGTCCACGTTAGGAAGAAGGATCCTCCAGATCCCTGTCAAAAGCCCTAAGGAGGAGGATCCCACCTTGTGAAATCCCTTGAAGCCTGGCTGCATTCATTCATCCAACAAACCATTACTGAGTGGCCGCCCTGTGCCAGGCACCGCTCTAGGTACTGAATGCAATGGGCAATCCCCCTGACTCTCCCTCGTGGGGTTCACACTCTAGTGGGATGTGGTGCGGGGTAGACAGACAATAAACAACAAACTGAAGTGGCCATCACTCCCTCCACATAAGATCTACAGAAAAGAAAGCAGGGATATTACCTTCTGTCACCAGGTTGGTGTCACTAGAGTGCTTGCAGGTGATGATCTTCTCCACCAGCTGGTTGTAACTCAGTTTCCCAACTGCACTCACAGCCTCAGGGCTCTGCATGGGCAGTGGGATGGGGTAGTAGCAAAATAATTAAGATCTTTTGGGAAAGGAAATGAAACAAGCCCACAGCATTGCAACCCTATAACCAAAGGTTATTGGGACGCCTGGGTGGCTCAGCGGTTGAGCGTCTGCCTTTGGCTCGGGGCATGATCCCACTGTTCCGGGATCGAGTCCCACATTGGGCTCCCTGCATGGAGCCTGCTTCTCCCTCTGCCTGCGTCTGCCTCTCTCTGTGTGTCTCTCACGAATAAACAAGTAAAATTAAACAACAAACAAAGGTTCTTGAAATTTTCCTGGTCTAAAGAACTGACCTATTTGTATAGGGTTTGCTTGTATTTGAATGTTACCCCTCCCCCCAAAAAAGGTTAAAATTCAAGGAATTCTGCACCAGGTCCAGCCTCTAAAGCCTATTCCCTTCCCAAGCCAATCTAATCCCTAACTCCCTAAACCCACCCCACAAAATCTGGCTTCTCTGTCAGTTTGAGCTGGGTAAGAGTCTCATTTGCCCCCCCCACCTCACCTGTGGATCAACAAGCCAGCCATGGTACAGAGGTATGCCAAGGAGGTCAAAGATACTGCACTCAGGAGTATACTCAAAATCAGAGACCCCTGTGAATCGCACATTGACATCCAGCCCCGTGGCCAGCTTAGGCAACACTGTCATCGCGTCGTCCACATTCTAGGTTTAGAAAAGAAAATGATGACTGTATCACACCACCATGTTATACACCTTCAATTCACAGAATGTTAGATGTCAGTTATATTCCAATAAAGCTAGGGGATAAAAAGGAGAAAACGATGGCTATTCTAGCCTCCCCTCCCCCCTGACTCCTAGCTCCAGAAATAAAAAAATTAATCTCATTGCTTTTCTTCCCTCATTCTCTTACAGGCCATTCCATTCCTCTCTTGCCTCAACCCTTCTTTATCTTATATAAAGGAACATATTTTCTAGGACAGAGATATACTAGAAGGAAATCATAGTTCAAGGAACCTTCTTAAGAAGAAGAAGGGCTTCTCTTCATAGCTTAGGTGTCCCCATACAAGCCTGCAAACTCCTGTATCCCCAGACGTTTGCCTCACCTGCTGAAAATTAAGCTGAAGTCCCTCTGACTTCTCCTGAGGCCTGATGGACAGGAGGCAGTCTCCTACAAGACAGAAACCCTTCATCAGCTCACCCCAACTGTCCCACAGCTGCTTCCTCTTCTTCTGGAGAATGGTTATGGAACAGATTTTTACAGCTGTAAGGAGCCTTAAAATCTAATCCAGACCTTTCATTTCTCAGAGAAAGAAACAGACTCACGAAGGTGAAGGGCCCACCCAAGGTCACACTGAAAGCTCAGAGCAGAAGCAGGGCTTCAATCCCGGACTCCTGACACCTTGATTTTTGCTTTTCATTCCCCAGCCTTGCAGAGAAGCCCTGTAGACCTTCATCCTCCCTGCCACATCAGAGTCCCAAATGCGCAGTTGCTCAATATTCTGGATTTCTGGCTGAGTGGAAAGTGTAAGCTCTTGAACCTTCTGTGTAATTCCTCTCCAAGGTTTAGTCACTCACCAAGATGGGCCATGAGCTCATCTGATGTAATCACTTCCTTCTGGGGGGGCAGCTTCACCTGGAGGCAGAAAGGGTGGCCAAGGCCATGTGTATATTCAGAAAGCACTGAAGGAGAAAAACACAGAAGGACAGGGGGGAAGGGGAGGGCGTGGTGGGAAAGCGGGCTTGCAACTAGAGTGAGGGAATGACTGTGAAGAACTGTAAGACATTCCCATTTGCCAGACAGTAGAAGATAAAAGAGTAGAACAGAGAATTGTTTTGTTTTGTCTTGTTTTCATGAATAGCTTATCTCACTTGTTCAAGCTGGAGATAAACAGAGAATAATCTGGAAAGTTTTGCCTGGTCTGAGAACAGCAGGATCATCAAGGAGATGGGTCAGGGAAGAGGACTTGTCCTAGCAATTTCTGAGCTCCCATCCAAACTCTCTTACCTTCCACTGAAGAAAGAGGATGTTCATGATGGCAAGGAGAGGACAAGGGCCATTAGTGCTCTGGGTGATGATGGGTGTCCGTTCTCCCTTCCAGGGGATCCACTTTACACAGTAGAAATCTAGCTCAGGCTGTCGGGCCCTAGGGGGCAGGGGAAGCTCCTGCCTGGAGCATGCTCCCAATGTCTCTACTTCAGGCTGTGTCCCGTGGGCTGGCCCCAGTTGGCTTGAACTAGCATCAGGTGGAGGGGACTCAAGGTGATCCTGGCCCTCGGCCAGCAGCGAAGCGTGGCCTACTGGCTCCTGTTCTCCAGCTGCCCCATCTCCAGTATCCTTGTCCTGGGGGTGCTCATCCAGTTGTGACAGGACCTCACGGTTTTCAGGGCTGACTGCTTCTGTAATCCTGCCCTCACCAGCGGCTGAATGCTCGGGTTGATGGTGTTCCATGGTCAGAATAGGTCAACTGAAGGGCACCAAAAGACTTTCCTGTCCTCAGGGAGTTACCTAATCTAGGCTTGGTATGTAAAAAAGAGACCAATCAAATAAGAAGAAAGTCATTGGGCTGGAAAGCAAATAGATCCAGAAAAGTCTTGTCAAAGGACTATAGTATGGAAGGCTAGATAATGTCTATCTAGTCACTCCTGGCTACAGGGTGTATGTCTTTCTCAGCTGGGTAAACAGAAGGGCCCCAGCCTGAGCTCTTCACCTCTAACTTGCTGTGACCACATGGAACCAATGAGGGTACAGGGCTTTCAGGTTGAAAGGCAGGATTCTGATGGGATTGAAGTCATTGGAAGGAGTCAGCTTCCCTGAAACGATAAGATCAAGAAATGGAAAAAAGTTGGAGGAAAGGGAAAGTAAAAGGAGAAAGAAAGGAAAAAGAGCAAGAGATGTTAAAACTGTACAGCTGACCCCTGAACAACAGGGGTTTGAATTGGGCAGGTCCACTATCCACGGATTTTTTTCAGTAAATATATGAACGGTAATGTAAATGTATTTTCCTTATGATTTTCTTTTTTTGTTGCTGAAGTATAACTGATACACAATTTACATTAGTTTCAGCTGTATTCTTCAGGATTTTTTAATATTATTTATTTATTTATTTATTCATAAGAGACACACAGAGAGGCAGACACAGGCAGAGGGAGAAGCAGGCTCCCTCCAAGGAGCCTGATATGGGACTTGATCCCAGAGGTCCCGGGATCATGCCCTGAGCCAAAGGCAGATGCTCAATCACTGAGCCACCCTTATAAGGTGCCCCCTTATAGTTTTCCTACTAACATTTCCTTTTCTTTAGCTTACCTTATTGTAAGAATGTAGTATGTAATATATATAGCATACAAAATACGTGTTAACTGACTGTTGTTTATGTTTTTGGTAAGGCTTCCAGTCAACAGTAAGCTATTAGTTCAGTTTTTAGGGAGTCAAAAGTTATACATGGATTTTCAACTGTATGAATGGTCAGTGTCCCTAACCCTTGTGTTGTCCAAGGGTCAGCTGTACTCATGGTTATTAATACAGTGATCTGTAGCTCACCCTGTAATAGGCGTCAGGTTGGTAACCCCCACCATAGCCAGGATGGTGATAATTCCTCTGCCCCATACCAAACCCCACCACCCTGGCTGTTCACAGATCCTCCAGAGCACACACAAGTATCCTTGGGGTTACCTTTTCTCCTCTTCACCCCAAGGGAAAAAAGATTTAACAGTCACAGAGTGCTTGGGGTGAAGAGCGGAGGTAGAGCTGGATAGTTTCATGCCCCAAAAGAGGAAACACCAGTGAGAAAGTAGCCTTTTTCCTCAAAGGACTCTATTAAACTTTACACAATCCTGAACCACAGCAAAAAGGTTTTGGAGGGGCTTCCTGTGGGCCAGAGAGGGGAAATATAGGCCAGGGAGGACTTGAATCAGACTGGTTCTGGCAAGTAACTTCAGATTGGGGTACAAAGCCTGCTCCCCTGCAAATTCTGACAGTTAACTCTTGACAGCAGGAATTGAGGTATCAACTTCTCTTCAGTTCCCCTCTGCTCCCTTAAATTACCTAAACCCAGAGATACTCTCTTGCCCACTCTTTATATAGATGTGAAAATGCTGATTATTGATTTATATAAGAAATACTCCCTTGTGGGGTGCCTGGGTGGCTCAGTTGGTTGGGCTGCCAACTCTTGATTTTGGCTCAGGTCATAATCTCAGGGTTGTGAGATCAGGCTCTTGTGTGTCAGGCTCCATGCTCAGTGGGGAATCTGCTTGGGGATTCTTTCTCTCCCTCTCCCTCTGCCCCTTCCCTCCACCGAGTTCTCTCTCTTTCTCAAATAAATAAGAAAATCTTTTAAAAAGAAGAAAAAGAAATACTCCCTTGTGATGAGCACTGGGTGGTGTACGGAAGAGTTGAATCACTATACTGTACACCTGAAACTAATATAACACTGTACATTACATTGGAATTAAAATAAAAACTTAAAAAAAAAAGAAATACTCCCTCTACATTCATCTACCTACTCTGTGTATGTTCTTTCTATTCCCACCCAGGTCATCTTAGATGTAAACCCTAGACCTGTTTAACCTGCTCTCTATCAGCACTAAGCATCGAGTCCAACATAGACATTTAATTAAGGCCGTAGATAGCAAACAATAAAAAGCCATAAACGCTGTCCCTTGGAAAAGATCTACCTTCAACTTCTTAGTTCCGCTGTCCCCTTTACTTGGGGTCAGAAATCCTGTCTTCTCTCCTGCTCCCTCCTACTTTGACACTATGCTTCCTTCCTGTAAAGTGGCAGGAATTCAGGGCTAGGTTAAGGCCTGGGAGATGAAGTTGAGAGACAGAAAGTTATTAGCAGAAGCCTAGTCACCTAAATTGATCCTCCCCCGGATTCAAACATAATTCATGATAGCTGCCTCTCATTTACATGTTAATTTAGAATCAGACTAGCAAAAATTGCCTGCACACTTTACACTTTGCTTTCCCTCTCTCTCATCTCCTTTTTTCCTCTCCTCCCCAACGACAGTGTGGCTGAGCCTTGGAAACAGAGGCCAGAGCTTGGGAAAGTTAAAAGAGCTTGGAGAAAAGCAGCGTGCGTTTCTTATCTTTTCCGTCCAGTGCTAGAAATTATCAATAATTAAGTGGGGGTTGGGCAGCTAGCTGGCGAGGGGGATGAGCCGAAAGAGACCCGGGCTGGGTCTTGGAGAAACTGGGCAAAGCTAACTGGGCTAAGTCTTAAGAGGGGCAGGAGACGGAATGGAGGATTTCTACTCTACAAAGTGCCCTCCCCGTGGGTGGGCACCAGTATGTCAGCATAGGAAAGGATGAGGGGGGAGGGCACTACAACAAATCAGGATTTTGTTCTTTTCCTCTTCTTTTCTCAAGTCCCATGCATTCTTCCTGCTGGAATTATCCTCTGGTGGTGGGTGAGATAGTTAAAATAGCCCTGGCCCCTCCCTTGCACCGGCAGTAAATAGCCAAAAGTTGGAAGAAGCATATAAAATGGGTAGGTAGCTTCACTAAGACACACGCACCCCCAGGTACTTTTGCACTTGTAATCTTCTCAGTCTGACCCAAATCTTCATTCTGGTTTAAAATTTTGCCCCTCCCCCCCAAAAAATAAAATAAAAATTTGCCCCCAAGTAAGTCAACCACCGCTCCCATGCCCTGCCTATTAACTTGCAAGCGAGAGGGGGAAGTTTTCATTAAAAGAAGTAAATGAAGGCACCAAGCCCACCCCTTTTACATCTTCCTCCTGCCTTAGCTCCTCTCAAAATCCAAACTTGTAGAGACCAAAAGTGGAGAGGGACAGTCCGTGTCATCTCTCCAGAGCTGCAAAGGAAAAAGAGAACTGGGGGGAGGGGGCGGGGGAGGTAAAGGAAATGGTTAGAAGAAAGTTTTTACCTTAAAGAAGTGGGTGCTGTTCCAGGACTGAGAGGAAGGTCCAGAAGGGCTATTCAGTCAGGAAGGTGGCTACAACGAGGGGCGCTACCGCAGCCCCAGCTGCCTTCCAGCTGTCAAGGCCAGAGCTTACACAGGTCTACACAGGTTTACAAGCAGCTGTCCTGGCGTGGTCGTGGCCACTTCCGGGCTCACATCCACGACTGGGGTCACCAGAGAAGGGTGGAGGCAGGCAGGAGTGCAGCCCAGGTGCTCCCAGGTCGCTCGGAGTGTCTTCAGGATTCCTGAGTGGCTGAGTCTAGGGCGTGCGCTCCAGGCCCTGACTCTGAGCTAATTTTCAAAGGAAGTTTGTGGTTTTTCTTTTTTCTTTCTCTCTCTCTCTCTCTCTCTCTTTCTCTCTCTCTTTTTTTTCCCATGGGACAAAGAAAAATTAGTCAAGGACAAGCTCCCTGGAGGAGGAGGGGCTTGCCCAGCACTGGAGATTTTCTATCAGGGCTTTCTGACCTGGTCAGCAGCTTGGTGATTAGCAGTGAGGGAGAGAGAAACAAGGAAAGAAAAACAACAGACCCTTTCTCTTCCCTCCGCCTGCCTCTGGAAGGGACGGAGCGCTTGTGCCTCTCTGGTGAGAAGAGGGAAGAGCAAGTGCCCTTGCGGAGCGTGGGGAGGAGCAGGGCTGGACAGCAGCAGCTGGTTGGATTTGAGCTTTCTCCGTGGATATGGCAGGCCTTTGGTCTGGACCCACAGAAGCAGTGCCAAAGAGCACGATATTTGCATATTTATTCATTTAAAGTAAAAAGAAATTCTGCTATTTTCTAAGCCTTTATGTATCTTTTTTTTTCCCCCTAGAAATGGACCTGGTTGGGCTGTGCCCCTGGAGGTCCTCTACACGACTCCCCAGACTCTGGGAAGACAAGGAGAGAACTAGCTGAGCAAGCAGGAGATCTAATACCCCTGGGCTCTGGCCCTTTGTCCCAACACAGGCCTCACCTCCTTTTAACTTCTGGGGCGGGGTGGGGAGGGGAGAGCAGGAAAAGCTGGCAGTAAGAAATACAGGGAGGGTGGATAAGGGAGGGGCATTTGATGATCAGTTCACGTACTGGCAGCACTCTACACCACCGTGGGGCTGGAAGGTGGCAGTTAGGGGAGGCTGGAACCCAGCTCCACATGCTGAAGGGCCCTGCTCCCTTGACTTACAAGGCTACTGCAGGACGAAACTTCAAGCAGCTCTGAAGGCTGAAAGGGCAGTTTGAGCAATTAGGGAGGCAGGGAGCAAAAACCCCAGGTTACAACCGTCCATGAGGAGGCATTTGCCAAGGCTGTAGACAAACGGGCTACTGAGCGGTAAAGTAGCAGCAGGAGTTGGCAAGAGGCCGTAGGTATTAGGTGAAGAAGAGAGGTCGAAGATGATTCTAATGTTTTTATAACACGGACAGCAGAAAATTGGCGGCAGTGGGTCCGTTTGGAAAAGGGGAGAATTCGAGAAAGGCAGGCTAAGCTGTTTTTGCCTTGTGTAATTTAAGATGTCAGCCAGATGCTCGATGTAATCTATGGAAAGATGCTATACTTAGCCTGACTCGAGAGGGAAAGTTCAGATGCCACCAACACAGGTTACTGTGGCACATATACATTTCTCTGTCAAATGAGTAATCTCGGAAAATTATTCTCTCCTCGATTCTTACAGCCATTTCGGAGCTGCCGGACTACGTTTCCCAGGATGCCCTCCGCCACGCCCCACTTCGCGCCTCCCGGGTCCCGTGAGTCTCCGGGCACAGAGCTCCGCCTCCGCCGTCGGGGGCGGGGCGACGTCCGATTCCAGGGGCACCGGATTACGCACTTCCTCCAGGGGCTGGGGAAATGAGTCGCTGTGTGGCGGGTTCGAGTCCCGCCTCCTGACTTTCGCCCCTAGCCCCTGAGTCCCGAGCGGGGCGCGTCCGCCGGGTAACCTGTCCACGGCCAGGGGCGGTGGCACACCTGGGACTTCACCATGGAGGACTACCTGCAGGGTTGTCGAGCCGCTCTGCAGGTAACGAATCCCGGTCTGTGGCTGTAAGGAATGGAGCATGAGGTCCAGGAGGAGCGAAGATGTGGGATCTGGGGAGCCCGGATGGTGTGTGGGGAGCGGGCTTGGGACCACATCAGGTTGGGGCCAGAGGACCGAGGAAGGAGAACCTAGCCTTGGGGAGTGCTGCTCAGTCTCCCGGCTTTTGGCCCCCGTCTTTGGGGTCTCCCCAAGGGCTGGGAGGAGGACCTGCATCCCAGCCTCTGCTCGCTGTTGCCCGGGTCCGTTCCGTGAAGCGGTGAAGGGCTGTGCCGTCGCCAGTCGTGCCCCCCCTTCCTCTTTCCGCCCACTCACGGGGGCCTCCGCGGCCGGCTGGCCTCCAGGTGAGTCCCGGGGTACCAGGGAGCCTGTGCCCACGGATTAAGCCTCAGAAGAGCTGTTTCTGTCTGGCGGGCCGCGCTCATTCTAGATGAGAGAATCGTGGTTTTACTTTTAAATCTGTTTTTAAGCTAAACGTGCTCAATGCCTCAGGCAGATCTGTCGTTGACCAAAAACTTGCATTCCTTTGCCTCCAGTTTTCTTCTGTGGCCTTAACTCACATAAATTATATAAGAAACCACTCCCCCCCCCCCCCCCGCCTGGGAGGGCTAAACAAAGTGTGTTTGGAATCAAAGCTATAAGCTTGACTCCTGAATGCTTTGTGGCTTATTTTTGGTACTCTGAGCTCGTTGGAATCTCCCAGCTGAGTTGACCACCCGTCAGGCCGCATCAGGCTGCTGTTACCAGTTAGCAGCTAAGAGCTGACCAGAGAGAGGCTCTAGGAGGTCACCTGGCTCCCCTACTTCAAGTTACACTGCCCATATGGAGACCTAGACAGATGGCTGACAGGTGCTTTCTTTGAAGTGTCTTAAACTCTGCACATTCCCCAGGCGGATAGATTCTGGTCTTTGACAAAATCCTAGAAATCACCTGTTTCCTACTGCCCACTCCGCTGCTGGCGTAAATGACTGTCCTCACCTGAAGTATAGGGACAAAAGACAATTTTAATATTAATTGCACTAGATTATTCCTTTTGGGAAAGTTGATTTAATGCATAGGGCGATTTGGAAGTAATTCATTTGGTTACGTCTGATTTCCACCACAGGGAGCTCATTGGAGGACTAAGGTAGAATCTTTATGGCACTCCAAGTGCTAAGCAGGTGAAATGTTTGCCCCCACAGTAACGCAAACTACAGGCCTCCTTTCCACCATTTGGATGGAAACCTCACCAAATAGCCTTTTATTAGCATCTATGCTTTAGAGTTCCCCTGGGTTAACTATCTTCTACAGCAATATGGAGCTGAAGAATACTGGATTTTTCCAGTATTGCTGGAATCCTGACCTTTTTTTGCCTACATTCATCCCCAAGGAGCAAGATCTAGGTCTTTGTTTTTCTGAACTTGTGAAGGTGAGGTTGTATCTTAGAGTTATTATTACACAACCTAGCCAGGGCTGGAAGAAATGAAAAAATCGGACTCACAGAATGTTAGTGGAGGAACTGGTGGCAGGACACACAGGTGGTCGCCAATAATTTAGATAGGTTTTATTATTATTATTTTAAAGATGTATTTCTTTTTTTTAAGATTTTATTTATTTATTCATAGAGACACAGAGAGAGAGAGAGAGAGAGAGAGAGGCAGAGACACAGGCAGAGGGAGAAGCAGGCTCCATGCAGAGAGCCTGACGTGGGACTCGATCCAGGGTCTCCAGGATCACACCCTGGGCTGCAGGCGGCACTAAACCACTGCGCCACTGGGGCTGCCCAGGTTTTATTATTCTTTTTTAAAGATTCCATTTATTTATTCATCAGAGACAGAGAGAGGCAGAGACATAGGCAGAGAGAGAAGCAGGCTCCATGCAAGGAGCCCGATGTGGGACTTATCCGGGATACGCCTCTAGCCAAAGGCAGACGCTCTACTGCTAGGCCACCCAGGTGTCCCTAGATAGCTTTTAATTATAGAATAGTAAATGCATACAGTGAAAAAATTTAAATACAAGAGAGATGTGAAATGAAAAAGAACAAGATCTTTTTTTCTTCTCCCCATCCAGTTCCCCAGAGGCCTCACTGTTGTTTTTTGGTAAAGAAAGACATGATTTAGCCAGAGATTCTATTTAAAGTTTGGGTGTTTCCGTTAGGTTAACTCTTTGGGAAATGTGAATGCTTGACTTTTACATGGGAGAGAGACAGCTTATAACCCACCAACTGTCCTGTTGATAGCATATTTTTTTCTCTGGCATCTGATACCAGAGAAATTTTTTACAGCCTCTGCCACAACGATAGTAGGATGTTCCATTTAAAAGAAATCCTGTTTAACTAAATGTCCTATTCATGGTAACTCATCTTTTAATTCTAGTAGGGAAAAACCTTTGCTTCAGGATGGAGCTGCAATCTAGTGTAGTATTCATCCAGCGGCCTTCGGATGATCTGTGTTGTCTGCACTGCTCAACACATAAGGCAGGAATCGGAAGGCAGGAATCAGGAGTGGCTGCTGTCCTTCAGACATTACAGTCCTTTCGTCAGTATCTGTACCATTGTGCTGGGAGAACTCTATCTCTGGCTCCCTATTTCTCTCTCTTTTTTTTTTTCTTAAGATTTTATCCATCCATTCATGAGAGACACAGAGACACACACACACACACAGGCAAAGAGAGAAGCAGGCTTCGCTCAGGGAGCCCAGCGTGGGACTCAATCCCAGGTCTCCAGGATCAGACCCCGGGCTGAAGGCGGCACCAAACTGCTGAGCCACACGGGCTGCCCCCTCTCTTTTTTTTTCCCTCCCTTATTAACTATTTTGTAGAGTAGGCCACTAGACTGTATTCAGCTTCAGAAGGAAAGTTGGGTGCCTTTTCCAGCCTTAGAGCCCATCCTCACTCCCCGCATTGAGGCCAGAAAGAACATCAGAATACAGTCATTGTGACTTGTGGGTTTGGGTGTTTTGTTTGTTAGGAAGAAAAGTTTGTATTTACATGGGGCTTTCAGAATTGTATTTCTTGCATTGGCAGCTCAGGTTTCCTCATGTTCTAAGTATAGCTATATCTGCCCTCAGCTCTTCCTCTCTCATGGTCAGAAAAGTGAGGCTGTTTGGCTTGTGCTGTCAGCTGGTAGAGGATAGGGTAGAGATGGGGTGTTAAGAGTTACATATGTTTTTCCTTTTTTAAAAAATTATTTATTTATTTATTCATGAGAGACACACAGAGAGAGGCAGAGACACAGGCAGAGGGAGAAGCAGGCTCCCTGCAGGGAGCCCGATGTGGGACTCCATCCCGGGACTCCAGGATCACTCCCTGAGCTGAAGGCAGATGCTTAACCACTGAGCCACCCAGGTGTCCCAGTATTATCATTTTTAAAACAAAAGATGAATCTTAGGCCCAAATCCCACAACAAAGTAAGAAGCAGAACCCGGATTCAACCCTATTCTGTGGTCTCTTCAAATAGCAGTCCTGGTGCTTTCTTTCCCTTTTTAAAAAAAAAAAAATTATTTATTTATTCATGACAGACACAGAGAGAGAGGCAGAGATACAGGCAGAGGGAGAAGTAGGCTCCATGCAGGG